GAACAACCTATTTTAATATGTTTTTGTGTGACAGTTCTATATTAAATCCATTGGAGATGGGTTGACCCTTTCCTCTTCCTAGCTACTCATATTCTGAAATATCAAACAATAACGGTGTTAATTAAGAGATCTTTGACATTCCAGCAGCTATAATTGTTGTGATAAACTTATTAAATAGTTTCCGGTTTGATATGTCTCAAGCAAAAGCTACTAGATGTGGACCATGCAACAAAACAGTGAAGGACAACGACTCAACTGCTATAGGATGTGAAAAGTGCAGCGCGTGGTTCCATGGGCAATGTGTTGGATTGTCTCCTGATGATGTAGCTACAATGGGCAAAATTCGAGGATGCTTCTGGCTGTGCTCTGGCTGCCTTGAGGGGAACATCTTCACATCCCAAGCTAAGTTTGAACTGATTATTCAAAGACAAGAAAGCTTAATCGAAATTACAAAAAGCATTAAAGAAACTGTTGAAAATGTTGATCCAACCAAGACAACATCATCGAATGTACCGGTTAATAGTCGTATTAATAACAGTCACCGGGCCAACACATGTGAAAACGAGATAATCATCGACGGGGTCTGCGAAGACAACGGACAGTTTACTTCCAATATAGAGGCCGAAGAAGCCAAAGTGGCCGAAATTTTTGATCATATAGGCGAAGAAAATCTCAGTATCTGCCAAATGTATAGACTTGGTAAAGCTAATCCCCAACAACGAAGACCGCGTCCTTTACTTGTTCGTCTGTCATCCGAATGGAATGCTAGAAAATGCCTGGCAAAATCTTACAAACTGAAGAATTTCAAAGAAAAGATTTTCATATCGAAGTCCCTGAACCAAGAAGAACAGATTCTGAAACGTAAAATCTTCAAGAAACGGTACGACATGATTAACAATGAAAAAGTTCCACGCGATGAGCTAAAAATTCGTGGTCTGACCCTCGAACGAAATGGTATCAAGATCAATCTTGACTGACTACAATCAAAGTTATGCCTTATCAACGCACAAAGTCTCTTGAGCATAAATCAGCGTCTGAAGTTAATCAATTTTCTTTCTTTACATTCTCCTGATATCGTGTTCATTACTGAAACATGGCTTAAACCAGAAGTTACTGATCCCGAAATTTTTCCTATGAATTCTCCCTATTCGGTTATTGCTCGAAAAGACCGCACTTCTGGAGAACACGGAGGTGTTCTCATTGCTACAAAAAGGAGTTTTGCTCTAAATTATTCAACTCTATCATACGATGCAGATTACTGCATCGGACTTTCAATATATTCGGGTGCAGTTAATCATATTTTCCTCCTTATTTACAACCCCCCCGCTTCGTCGCAGTTTCGGATACCTGCCAAAATGCTTACTGATTCAATACGTTATTTTAACTCCAAATTGATTAATGGTTCTAGTTCGTACACAATCTTAGGTGACCTAAATCTGCCGGATATCTGTTGGGCATCTTCTGATGGTGGCTGTGATTACTCGAAACTGTTCCTAGAGGTTATTGAGGATCATAGCTTAATGCCCCTTATATATGAACCCACACATCGCTCAGGCAACACTCTTGATATCATTTTAACTTCGCACACAGAATTGTTCACTGCATTTGTAAATGAAGTGCTTTACTCAGACCATTTTCCTTTATTTGCTTTTTTTACCATTCCTGAAGCAGCGCCTACTGTGAGTGGGAATTTTATGAAAACCTCTCTATCTAAATCATCTTTTTCTCATTCGATCTTCAATACTAACATCAGCCCTTGCTTTACCAAACTCATTGTGGAACAAAACTCATGTTATTCCATATCCACCACTAATGATTATGTAGATAGCTGGTACGCTCAGATCAATCATGCAATTCTTTCATCATGCGCTCAGAAAACTAAAAGACGCCAGCAACTTCCCTATTATTATTCGTCGCATACAGTTCATTTACTGAATAAGCATCATTCCATATCTAAACGGACAGCCAACACAAATCATTTAGCTTCGATCCAACAAGACCTTAACAATTCAATCGAATTGGATAAAACTTGTCTCCTTGAATCTTTAAGACCAAATTCTACCCGTGATTGCTTTAAATACCTTCGATCTTTTACCAGAAGGAAACTACCAAACCAAATGCACTGGATGAATAGAAAAGCATCCACTTCTATTGAAATAGCCATTCTTTTGAACGATTACTTCTGTTCAATGTTTCTAGAAAAGCATGAAATTCAAATCTTACAACCCGAAAAACCCACCATTTTTCTATCCGATCTCCATGTCAACCTTAAAAAGGTCGAGAAAGCTCTCAAATTTGCTAAAACTTCTTGTATTACCAACGACCGCCTCCCAACCTTTATTCTTAACTACTGCAGTGAATTAATATCTCCTCTAGTCGTGCAGCTCTTTGTCAAGGTTTTGGAAACTAAAACGTGGCCAGAACTTTGGAAATGTGCGTTTATTACGCCAGTTCTTAAATCTAGTAATCCCGAAAATGTTGAAAATTATCGCCCGATTAGCATATTGCCTCAATTATCGATTGTTCTGGAGAGAATGATCTTCGATTTCATTTATCCTAAAATTCGGGCTAAAGTTACACCTGCTCAACATGGTTTTATGACCAAGCGATCGACTGTTACTCAGCTTCTTGAATACCTAGATCAGATTTATAACGACGTCGAGGCAAAAAGCGAATGTCTTTCTGTGTACTTCGATTTTCGCAAGGCTTTTGATCAAGTTCCTCATCATATACTTATTTTGAAACTTGGTAATTTAGGCTTTGACGTTAGCTTTCTTGAACTTTTTGCTTCCTATCTCACAAACCGCACGCAAAATGTCTTAATTAACAATGAAGCATCTCCAAAAGGCCATGTAACAAGTGGTGTTCCGCAAGGAAGTGTACTCGGCCCTTTACTATTTATACTCTTCATTAATGACATGCCAGCTGTCTTGAAAACCTCTAAATGTTTTCTGTTTGCTGATGACAGCAAACTCTATTCAAAATATGACCTTTCCTTAGTTCAAATAGACATTGATCTATTTATCAATTGGACACTTGAAAACGAAATGACATTTAATTCTGATAAATGCAAAGTTATTTGTTTTAACTCAACTTCCCCCAAATCTACACTTTGCCTTAATGATTACCCAATTCCGTCAGTTTCATCTATCAAAGATCTCGGAGTAACGATATCTAGTGATTTAAAGTGGGACATCCACATTAAAACCAAACTGGTTGCAGTTAACAAAGCTTTCCATTTCTTGAAACGTTCAATCCCTTATGGAGTATCCATGAGAACCAAATTCAAATATTACCAGCTATGTATTGTGAGTATTTTATTATACGGTAGTCAGGTCTGGTTTCCATCTTTAACATATCGCCGCAAACTAGAATTATTTAACAGAAAATGTTTGAAATGGGTAACGGGAGTCAACGACTATACAGAACAACTTAGAAAAACGAATTCCTTGCCAATTTCCTTCACTATAGCTTTACATGATATGTGTTTTCTTAATCGAGTCCTGACTGATCAATTTGATTTCAACCTTTACAGATACATAAATTTTACCTTTGCAGCCAAAGACCTTCGCAATAGCTCACGCCCTAAGCTTTCAACAACCCAGAATTGTCGACTCTTCTTTACAGAGCAATTTTTCTTCTATCGCGTCTGTCGGTATGCCAACATGATTTCAGCAAACAACATAGCCGACATTTTCTCATCGCCTGAAATTTTCAAAGCAAAATTGAAAATCTATCTGAAAAATAGAATTGATATGTTCAACTTAAACAACTCTTGTTCAATGCTACTTTGTTGCCATTGCATAAATTGCCGTTCGTGATGTCTTGTGTACATAATCATACCATTTCTTTTGTTTGATGCCTTTATATTTTAAAGGGAATAAATTCTTTTAGTAGTAGTAGTAGTAGTTTAGTTTTTTCGGCTATCCGGGAATGCGGCTCCGTTGGTACGCACCTTATTTTCGCCTTATACCTGATAGTCTTAGTGTCTCCAGATTGTGCCATTGGAGGTGTGAAACAAGTTTCTTTGCGTAGTGGGCGTGTGAGTTTTTTAAGAGGATAATTTATTTTGTGTTTTTGAACAAAAAAAGTTCGGATCCGTAGTAACTGCTTGGTAAATTTTGTTTCGAATCAAATTTAAATCAATTTTCTTAGTCAAGACAAATGGAGACCGATATAAATTTTTTGCATAGATCTAATTTTCTCGACATTTTAAAAGTTTTTTTTTGGCTTTCGTCGCAATTTATGTCTGCAAGTTTCTAATGCCATCTGTGTGTTGATGAGTGACACGTTTAGAAGACGTTTGAACAATATCACTCGTGTCCCTGTTATTTTCACTCGTGTCCCTGTTATTTTCACTACCCGTAAACTGAAAACTGCTGTCCCCTCTCTAAAATCCAAGATCCCGAATCATCTCTGTAGTAATGTGATGTATCATATCACTTGTCCTGGCTGTAGTGCCAGCTATGTTGGGCAGACAACCCTAAACCTTATTACACGCCTTAACGAGCATTCGCGGATCTCTACTCCAGTGGGTGAACACATGACACAATGCATTGGTAACACAGAAAACTTGATGGCAAAGATCATAGATCGATTCAGCGACACTGTCAAACTTTTAACGCTTGAGGCCCTCCACATCAACCGACTCAAACAAAGGATCAACAGAAAAGAAGAATACAGGTCGCGCGAACTCACAGTCAAGGTTTAGAAAAACATCTTTATTGTCCCATCAAAGATGGCTTAAAGATATCTATATAATTTTCTCTCGGTCCTATTTTTATACTGTATTTTATGTTTTTCATTTTTGATTTTATTGAAATGTTAAGTACTGGGGGCCATTTGACCCACAAAGAGATCTATATCTAAATTTAAAATATCTCTGCATTTCCGAGCCTGATAACTCAATGTAAAAAAGATAAACCATAGTGTACCATTTAGATTCTGTACACTAAATTAGATTCTGTACAGTAGAGTTTTTTCAGAGATATTTTTTACAAATGTCTGGCAGCGCCGCACCCGCAGGTCCTCGACGATTTATCAAACCTGGCACAGTTGTTATGTGCTTGCGAGGGCGACAAGCTGGAAAGAAGGCTGTTATTCTGAAGACCCATGAGAGTGGAATTGGTGGAAAGAAGTTTCCCTGTGCAACAGTTGTCGGAATTCAAAGACCGCCACGACAGGTCAAGAGAGGAATGAGTCAAAGTGTGATCAAAAAGAAGCAGAAGGTTGGAGTTTTCTTCAAGCATGTGAACTACTCTCATTTCATGCCTACTAGATACACGTTCACAAATGCCATGCAGATGGTCAACGTGTCGGAAGTTGAAGAATTGCTCAAAAAGGATGTGGCGAAGACCGAAAAGAAAGCAAAAAAGAGGGAAGTTGGAAAGGCATTCCAGGAACATGTGCTCAAATCAGCCGGGACGACCGAGAAAGCTGCTGGAGCTAAATGGTTTCTGACAAAGCTGAAGTTTTAACTGAAACAGGCTTTTGTAGTGTGCTATGTTGATTATTGATTTACTTGTCATTTTCCATAGAGTTGAACACTGTAACGCGTCTGTTTTAAAAATTCAATAGGCGTCACTGTAGCTGAAAAAGCTTAACTGAAGCTGAGTAAACTAAAAAAGGGGATTTGGGATCATTAAAGTTTTCATTGCAAATTATTTACGATTCATAGTGATGAGCATCTTATTTGTATTAGTTTCTTCCCCAACTACAGTGCTGATTGAAATTATCCAGAGAAAAGAATGAATCTTAAAAAATTTTAAACGCGTTGTTCTCAAATTGGGCTAAGATTAGACAAACAGTGAAGAGAAGAAAAGTTGCCTGAATTAATTAGATGCAAATCCCCCCCCCCCCCCCCCCCCGAAATTCTTGACCAAAATTTTACCCCAAAAATGGGTTATTTTGGACTTTTTTTATTAATCAAGGATTACGTTGAAACTACCAATTAATTGATGAGAATATTATAAAGAAGCCTTTTACGCTAAAATTCTTGAAAAATTGGATTTCCATAAATTTGTTTGCGAGAATATATTTTTGGTTGATAGCCAATAAAATCATTTTTACCAAAGAAAAATCAAAATCTTCGCCTAAAAAATTTCAAACGTTTAACGCAAGTTTTTGGAAATTTTTATCTTTCTAGAACTATGTGAGAAGCCTCTATCTTTCTAGAGCTGCGCTGTGTGAGAGGCTTCTTTTGCAATATAAAATTAATTAATTTGGTAGTTTCAGCTTAATTCTGGATAAATTAAAAAATGCCAAAATGACCCATTTTTGGTTAAAATTTTGATCAAGAATGTTAGTTAAAAAATTGCACCATATTATTTATTATGGTGAAATTGTAAGCAATTTTTGTTTTCTTCATTGTTTGTCTAATGTCAAACCATTTTGAGAAAATTGCTTTTGAAATATATGTAGTTAAAAATATAAACATATACAAAAAATATTGTTAGTTTTGTCCGGGATAATTTAAATCAGCATTGTATACAGGGAAAAAATCGGCTTCTGAAATAATGTAGTCGAGTTTGTGATGGAAATGGCTTTTGAAATTGCAAATCGCTCAACTTGTTGTAAAATTGATGTTTTTGGTTATGACCATGTCAGGAGTACTTGAGTTGCATTCGGCTGCTGTTTTTTTGCGCAAAATCAGTTATCACAAAATGCCAGATTAGGTTAAGTGATATTTGATAGGGAAACCATTTCCAGCTTTGATAACTTTCTTGATAGCTTTCGGAGTGTTGCTGAAAGTTGGCGTTAAATTTTTTCTTTCGAACTAGAAATGCTTGCGGTTTGCAAGCTTTTTCAAATTGAAACAGGGATGTTTTCACGTTCAAAGCTTTTATAACAGAATCTCAGATTCATGCTGTTATATATATTTTTTTTCAGCGTGTTTTGAACGTGTTTTCATTTTAAATGCCAATTCTATTCGAAATTTGTTATTTTTTATGTTGGTTGCAAATCTACCAACTCAGATTTTGTACAGATTTTTTTGTACGACTTAAATTATACTGGCTTAGTCTCGTCAGCTTGCGTCAATTGATGGGTGAATAATTTACCTTCTGTGGGTTTTTTGGGGAGAGGGTTTCAAAAAGTTCAGTTTCAAAACCTTTCGTAGCCAAGTTTTTCACGAAAGCAAAATTCTCGTGACCATTAAATAATCTCCACCTGAATCAGTTTAGTGAGGAGATGATTCATATGACCGTGAGCCAATTTTTCAGCAAATTAAATTTCATCAATTGCAAGTTTTTTCACTGATAACATTTGCGAGAGCAATTGTCTTGTTTCTGGGAACTAGACTTTTTCCCGTATACAATTTTTCTTGCAAATCTGTAAGAAATTAGCTTTACTTTATTTTTGAGCCGTAAGAAATAACAGGCTCATTCCCACTTGTTTCAGAGGTGATGCGGTTGCCTTTTCACTTAAAGGCGTGGGCTTCGAATTCCGGTAAAACATTGCTGGGTTTTCAGGATGTACGATTTTTTTTCGGGTTTTGTCGGATTTTTGTTTGTATGCTTATTTTTGTCGGCTTAGTTGCAACATCGCAGATTTTTCTCTAGCTCTAAGCAATTGGCATTGTATTTACAAAAGTTGTTACAAGTATTCCTGACTAAGTAACTGTGGCATAGTATATTTTCATAATTTTTTCATTCAAAAGGTTTTTTTCGGCTCAAATAGCTTTGCCTAATCTTTTATCAGATTAGTCAACTTATTTTGTATTTTGAAGGGAAAAATTGACGGTTACTTTATAAAATAATTTAGGTCTGTTGTGGTGTAAAGTTGTGCAACGTCGGCTAGCTCACCATGCAATTTTTGTATTGTATCGCAACTGGTGCGAAGGTCAGTTTCCCTCTGTTAAAAATTATCGTGAGTGATACATGCTATCAGATATTGTCCCGAGCAAGTAATGAAAGTATTTTTTACTTAATTGCAGTCATTATTCTCGGGAAAAGTGCCCATTCCCCTTTGAAAACACGATATAAAATTTTGAAAAAAGGCAATTTGGATTTTGTTCAAGTAGATTTTTAGTATACTTTTTGGAAAATTTTTGATTTGTTAAGTTTTTTTGATACAAAAAATTTGCTCATTTTTTGGATAAATTTTTTTGAAAAGTTCTTGTTATTTTGCTTAGCAAAAATTTGCAAAGATTTTCAGTGCTACGTTGCTTGTGAAAGTACTTGTTTCTAAGATGCGAATGTTGGTTTGATTTTCAGATGGTTTAGTTTAGAATTGATTTTGTGGAATTTGTTCTCATGTCTGGAAATGATCATTCGAGCCCCCACGAGTTAATTGACTCGGTAGAATGTTACTCAATAATTGGAGCATTGACAAGCAAACGGAAGAAAACGTTTGTCAAACTTGTTCACGTTCCCGCGAAAGACCTCTCGGGTAAACGACCTTCCGTATATGGTAATCAAATATCGGTAAGAAGCAGTGTGCGGAAAGTGTCCGCTGACAGTGTAGCGGCATCCACTGTGTTTTGTGGTGCTAATCTTGAGCTGTATGAATGTTTGAAATTCGGTAAACGAAAACTGATGCATGTTTTCAATATAGCACATATTACTGATGCTACGGTTCAGCAACACTCGCCTGCAAAAAAGACAAAGACATCACAAGTTTTTAAAGAGTTGGACATTTGTTTTGGTGAAACAACAGCTGTGAAGTTGATATTTGAAGACAAAAATGACGAGGCAACATCTTGGTGTTCGCGACTCAAAGAAATAAACACTGAAGTTAATAGTCTATTCAAATGGAAACAGAATCCAGTTTTTACTGCCAACTCGGCTTATACTGCGCCTTACGGAGTGAGGTTGTTAACCGAAGTCGCAGGCGTCGACCAAACTCTGAATTACGAGTTGAAAGTACTCCTGGAATGTATAATTATGAAAACACTATGGAATGGTGTTGATATAGAAAGTGAGACTCCTAATTCAGTTGTCATGTATTGGCCGATCACAGCGATTAAACGATTCGGCGTCCATGCAGCGGACAATCATATTTTCTCGATCGAATACCTCGAATGTGATTCAGATTCGAGCGAAGCCGCGGCATGTGTGTTCCGTTCAGCTTTCGCGATCGTTCTTGTTGGTCAGATTGAAAAAAGAGTGAGGGCTTTGGGAAAAGTTGACATGGGAAATGTTTACAGTGATGTTGAAACCCAAAACAGAAAGTCAGTCTTGGGAACATTGCGATCGGCGAAGTCGTTCGACGAAACCGAGGAAGAGGCGGCGGGCGCTGCCCCTGCGAGGAAGCCGACGCTGCCCCTGCGACCGGCAAATGGCGTTGAATATTCATCATTTTCATCAGTAAGTTCATTTGGAGTAAACTTCACGGGGGGGTTTCTACTTTTTCAAATAGCAAATTAAAATCTTGCCTTCGATTTGTTTGATAATAATGTTTATAGTTAGTGGCGCGATTAACTTAAGATTTTTAAAAACGTAACCGCTTTTTGTTCTGTTAGTATTTTATAATTATATTGGTAAGAAATCTTGCTTAGTTTAGAATGCTCATTTTTTGTATAACTTATTCATTTTTAAGAACATGTTTTAGCGTTCGGCTTATAATTGCACTTTGTAATTATTATATTGCATCAAAGATTTGCATTTAATCATGTCCTGTACCATAAAAATTGATTCGTTAAAATCATGTTTGCATTAAAGTTTAGCGCATCAGATGAAGCATCTAAAACGGCAAAGGAAAAAGCAAAAACGCTATTTTTAAAGAAGGTTGGGAAATTTTAGGCAGCTTGATTTGTTTGATTTTTTCAAGGTTGAACTGTAAATTTGTTATTGAAACTTTGTACTGCAATTCACGTACGTGTGAGTTCTAGCAAGATTCGGAAACACGAACGTTAATTTAAAAAAATTGGTCAAATTTTGTCTCAAACCGCTTGATTCGTTTTTTTTGTACAGTTGTAAATTTGTTAGTAAAAGTTGGTACTGCATTTGAAGGAGTCGGACAATGAGTTTGAGCCTTTGGAAGCTGAGAGTAAGCTGAACCAGTCTACCGAGTTTATCGAATCAGTCAGCGGAGATGCAGCTGAGCCGGTGTACCACGTGGTAGACATAGAAGCAGAGAAAAAGGATAAAAATCTTCTCATTCAAGGTTGGAAGTTGTTCTGATCTATCTTATGATCTTATGATGTCCTCCGTTTTACCCAGGATAGTTTTAAAAAATAACCCCCCACCACCCATTTTATGCCCATAGTTATGTCACGTCACTTTTTAAGCCTGAAATATGCTACTAGATTAATTCATACAAAACATTTTGATTTTTACACGTTTTAAATGAATCTTGATTACGGTATGCTAAATTATCTCGCTCTCTATTGAAGTATAGCAAAATCTGATCCAGCTATTCAATTTAATGATTGTCAAATCTGTCATCTATGCGAAGATATCACCGGTTTCTTTGCTAGTTAACCTGTTTCGATTTTCAGGCCTAATTTTAATTCAAGTTTACAAAAAAAAAAGAAAAGGAACGGAACCAAAAGCTTAACCACTGAAATTAACCAAAAGCTAATAGTCACATTTTGGGACAATTAACGCGCGATTTATTTGGCACTATTAACGCGTAAGCGGAGATTTAATCCGTCTTAGAAATCGTTTCAAACTGGTTCAAGGAAGCTTAATTGCCATAATTGATTTGTTACTAGGAACAAAATCTATCAATTTGTACTTTATATGGCGTGTACGGGAATGATTTTGACAAAAAATCTCAAATAAAAACATACTTTTTATTTTGTTACATTTAATTTTTTCTAGTCAGTCAGGCAATCAACACATTCAGCGCTTTGCCCTCATACGAGCAATTTTTTTTTCAAACGGTCAATTCAATCCGTCTTAAATGTTCCAAGTGGTCAATTCAATCCGTCTTGAATGTCGTGTGTATGATTCTACCCATTATAATGCGCTTTTGCAATGACGTGTATTGAAGCATTACAAGGTTTTCTGGTGAAAATGGTTCCGTTTAGTTTGAAGATTTTTTCCGAAATAGTTTTTAAATTTTTTTTCTTTGTGGGTCTCAGTCTTAAAGCAGTCTAAATTTTCTCGTGTAGTTAAGAGCCGTTGAACGTAGTAAAGACTCTTATATAGGTCTGTTGTTTATAAAAGTGCATTCATACATATGCCCCTTTTTGAGTTCAATTCAAATTCATCTGCTGTAAGTTAGGCGAATTGTGCTCTCGAAAAAACAACAGCGGACGTGATCGACTTCTAATGTCGAAAGTGATTTTAATTTTCAGATTTCCCAGTGGAATAAAAATGTTGACCTATTGATTGACCGACTTTCTCAAATTGACTTATTTTTTTATCAAACTGTTCTTGAAATTCGAAGAGCTTGAAGGCCATATGTTTTTGTTCCGACTTTCGATACGAAAGTAACGGAATATTTGTGCTCGGGTGGGGTTTTTTTTTTCAGACAAATTTCGACTTTTTAACTAGCCATTTTTGACGGAATTTTTTATATTATTCAAAAGGTATTGTTATTCTGAGCTTAAATTTGAAAAGATATTTCACCTGTGACCATTTTTCGTAAAGTTATGAGGGTTTAAAGATTGCCATTTTGACCAATTTGGGACAATTAACGCGCGATATAATGCGCGCTATTAACGCGTAAGCGGAGATTTAGTCCGTCTTATAAATCGTTCCAAATTGGTTGAACGAAGCTTATTTACCATAATTGATTTGTTAGAAGGAACGAAATCTATCCTTTTAAACTTTTTATGGCGTGTGGGGGGATGATTTTCATAAAAAATTGCAACTTTTAGAAGAAAAATTTCATTTTATTTTATTTCATTTAATTTTTACATGTTATTACTGCTGCTCCATAAACCTTAAAAGGCAGTCGGAACATTCAGGGCTTCGCCCTGATACGAGCAGTCTTGTTTACTTTGAGTTTCGAAAGTTGAAGGTTTCAAAAAAAAACAAGACAGTTGTTTTCTTTTTCTTTGCGTTGATTGTCTCTTTTCTAATCGTGTTGGCTATGTTTTTCTCATTTTAACATGTTTCTTTTCCTGTTTTTTTTGTTATTGTTGAGGATTTTGTTTCAGTCAAAAATTTGTTTTTTTTCTCAAATTTTATTGCCTCCTATTTTGCCCATTTTTTAGCTATTGTCACTTCTAGTCAGTCATATGCAAATGTTTCAAAATATATGTAAAATTTGGGGAGTAGAAAAAAAAACTAGACAAGTTCATGCTTTTTTTTGCTATGCGATGAAAAGTTCATTAAGACTTAAAATAGCTAAAACAAGCTGATGCTGGAAAATGTTTGCATGGGTAATTTGAGAAAAAAAAGGTAATTCGGAAAAATTTCGATTATTTGCAAATTAAAAGAATTCCTAAAGCCCTGTTTTCAGGCTGCCTTAAATGAACGCTTGGTAAATTCTCAGTTAAGTAGTTCAAATTTAAAGTGAGTTTTTTTTGTTTAGATGAATACGAGGAATTACACTACCAAAGTGTGGACGTTCTAACCATGCCTGGAAAGAAACACTCATCTCCTACGAGCCCTACCGACGTGCAAACCGCTGCCTTCAATTCTAACAATTCATCGCAGAAAACGAGTGAAGCTTGTGCTTCTAAAGCAGAGAAATCACCATATAAAGACAGTAGTCACGAACACTCTGTGTCACATCATAAGCAGTCATCGAATTCAAAGAAAAATACAAATTGTCAAGTTTCGACTGCTCAGAATGATAGAAAAATGTCCAGCGACAAGACTGAAGGACGAGCAGAGCAACACGAGAGAGAAAAATTGGGGAAAGGGCAAGCAAAGAAAGGAAGTCATAGTGGTGTAGTGAGCAAATTGGTAGAATCTTACCAACTGTGAAACTCGAACTTTAAGCTTAGCTTTCACATAGTTATCAATTTTTCTATAATTTATAGATTTCGATAACTAACTAATGTTTTATTTCTGATTCTGATTAAAAATTAAATTGTTAGCTCTAGCTTGCGAAAATGATTAATCATCTGTTGAATCTGTTTTGTTGGTGATCTAAATGAACTTAAAAAGCTGGCCCATAGTGCAACGGAAATCATTTTGCTATAGTATAATAAACAAATAGTCTTCGTCGAATCATTCGATATTCCATGCTTAACTGAAAATCAAAAAACCACCTAGCTCAAAATTTCTTGCCACATATCGCTAAATCTAAAGATGCTAAAATTATTTTTATGAACTTAATTTTCTGTTAGATTAATGTTCATTCCAGTCACTTCTTTCATGTGTTTTTATGTAAATACTTCAAATTGATCTATTTTGATTTGTACAGAAAATTATTTTATTATGCAAGGCATTGTAATTGTAAATACATATTTTTTGATTCTGAAATTTACACGTTAGCTTATTATAGCTTACTGAAACAATCCCTTTATTTTGATATCAAGTTAATGATATCAAGTTAACGATATCAAGTTAAAGAAAATGAAGCTGATTTGAGGTGTATTATTTTAAAAAGCAAGTACGTGTTTGTTCGTATGAACTTTGATGACAGATGCTTCGTCAAATCGCTTTTCCATATGAGTTAATCTCATTTAAAAGAGCAAGTGATTTGTAATCGGGAGCTAGACTCCTAAACAACTTTTACTTAGCTGAGAAATTGTACTTGCGTTATTGTTGAACCTCAACACCTTCGTGGGCCCTTCTCAATTGGTCTAGCGGTAGTACGCGTGCCTCGAATACCGGCGGGATCTTAGTTTTTCGATATGCCTTATTATGCGTGCGATTAGCAAGCTCTATCAAATCGGAATATAGATATTTTTCTAGTTAACAACTAGTTTAACAAAATCCGCTGAACCACTTGTAACTTGGTCCACAATGTTTTTATTGTGTTTTCTACAATTTTTTTTGGTTGTCCAACCATTTTTCTGGGAAAAATGTTTTCCAATAAGCCTATTTGAGGATGACTGTCGAATATGCCTATTCCCAATTTTCGTTCATATATATTTCTCACACCACACAGAAAAAACGACAATAGTTTGAAAAAAATGTCTTTTTTAAGACTATGGTCGGAACCTTCTGTGGTATTTGCACAAAAACCGGCTATCCTTGTTGCTCCGACCGTTGAAAATGGGGCGGAATTTTGTATTCGGGTTTTTAGTTTTTTTTGCGTTTTTATTTTACACGCAAAATCAGGTACCACTAAAAATGATCAGATTTGGTTGAGTGATATATCATAATAAAGCACTTTCAGTCGTGATTCGAACCACATTAAAAATTGTGTCGATAAAAACCGGTTTGAAGTTTTTAATTTTTCGCCTAATTTTGATCGAATTAAGCAATCGAGTAACGTTTGTTGTATATGAAAATTAGCAATTTCGGCTAAAAAAAATAATTTACCAAAAAACTCGTTTTGGAAGCTTCATTCAGCTCTTTGGAAAAACAACTCAGAAACTATTTGGAATTTTTAATTGGAAAAACTTTTTGAAGTTTTCGAAAATTTTTTATTTTTAATTTTTTTTTGCAGAGAGTTACAGCGGTTTATGCCTAATTCACTAATTTTCTACGCGTTTGTATAGTTGCATCATTACACAACGTACAAAAAAAACCTTAATCCGAAGAAAAATTTTTTTCTTAGATTGTGGTCGGAACATTCTGTGCTACTTGCTTAGCTACCGGCTATTCTTGTTTTCTTTTTGAAATTGGTTTCGATTTTTTTTGCAATTTTTTACTCTATACTCTCTGGAGATATTGGAACAAATTTTTGGGCACCTGAACCTGTTCTAACATGCCTAAAATACCCATTGAACTATATCCTGCCACAATCGCGAAATTGCTCAATTGAACATATATTGAATCCGAAAGTGTGATTAAATTCCCTTGATAAAATTTTAGTTTTTTTTTCATCAATGCAAAAGATTTACTATTGTGGTTTTTGTTTCTCTAACTTTCATCTTTGCTGCGAAAATTTGAAATATTTTGTAGAAATTAAAAACAAAACTAGATTTGATAGGCTACGAGGGAGGGGAAAGGGTAATTCTCATAATGGAGGAAGCAAATGGCGGTCAACTTGCAACCGGTCAGAATCTGTCAAAATTTTTATTCGCATAACGTTTTACGCAGAAAATTAGAAATATGTGAAAGTTTGTTATCTTTTCAGTGGCATGGTAGTGCCCGCGTTTTCGCCGAAAACCACCAAATGCTTTCATAAACAGTTTATATCTCAGTTTTGGCAAGCTAGCAACGCGTATCAGCCGGACTGCATGATATGCGATTTAACTTTAGCTGCTATGTTTTTGTTTGGCAATTAATTTGAAAATTGCCATTTTCTGAGCAATGAGAAATCTTGGACAGAAAAGCAAGCCGAGATTAAAAATCACATTTTTCAAATTAGAAAAAAAGTGTTAGATTTTGGTTGAGTGGAGTGATTCAGTTTAAACTTTCTTCTGGTCAATGATCTGCAATAAGAATTTCTGAAGTTTATTACTGGGTCTTTAAGGCTAGCGATATTTGGCTTCCAAAGTTTTTTGGCTGGTATTTTTTCAAATTTAGTTTCTGAACCCAATTCATTTAGGTTCACCATTTATTTTTTTCACCTAATTATTTCTAGACTTCAGTTTTGCTATTTATCAGAAATTGGTTTTAATTTGGTGCCTTTTAAGCAATTTCTATAGATCTCTTCGGTTACAACTCAATAAATGGTGAAACAAACACTAAAACTGTTTATTTTGTTTCAAAGTTGGATCGCTATTATTAAAAAAGGCAAGCTATCAATATCAATCAGGCAAAAACACAGCATTTTTAGTTGATATAGTTTCAAATGATATCTCTTCTTTTTTGTTCCGACTTTCGAAAAAAAACTGATTTTTTATGCTTGGTGTGGATTTTGTAAATCAGTCAATTTAACAAAAACAATTTATGCCTCATTGAAGCTATTGACTTCTTGAAATTAAATCTAAAAACAATTTTTACCTCATTTTTTACAAAGTTTTTGAGTTTGAAAATCGCCCATTTGGCCATTCTCGGGACTAATTCATGCGCATTTTGAAGATTTTATTCAATCTTGAAAACGTAATGCGAATAATTTTCGTGTGGCGAACTATCCTGGACAACAAAATCGTTTCAAATTGAACTGAGACCAGCTAATCGGTCGTAATAATTTCGTACGACTCAAACTTTTTACTTGATCATTTATTTTGTCAAATATTTACAGATCATTTTTCCTAAAAACTATTCGATATGGATTAAGGGGCAGTCAGAGCATTCAGGGCGTTGCCCTGATATAAGAGCGGTCTTGTTGATTTTTGTATTGACGTACTGAGAGTAACGGAATAATTTTTTGACAAATTCCTATATCATTCAAAAATTATTGTTCTCCTGAGTATAAATTTGACAAAAAAGTTCACCTGTGATCTTTTTTTTTGTAAAGTTGGGGGGCTTAAAGTTGGCCAATTTGGGACAATTAAAGCGCAATATATTTCGCGCATTTTATGCGTAAGCGGAGAGTTAACCCGTTTTAGAAACCGTTCCAAATTGGTTAAAGGAAGCTTATTTGCCTTAATTGAAATGTTATTAGTAGCGAAATCTATCTCTTTGACTTTAAAATGGCATGTGGGGGATGATTTTCACAAAAAATCTCAAATTAAAACAAAAAATCATTTTTTGTTACAATCAACAGACCATGAAAGGCAGTCCAAACATTCAGAGCTTCGCCCTTATACGAGTAGTCTTGTTATAATTGCCGTTATTGTGCAGTGATGCAACGTTCCAGACTGATTCAACGCTCTGCTTATCAAATCTGAATTTTTGAATAAGGTTTATCTAATTTTCGCTACAAAGTTTCCTTCTGATTTTTCATTACCATGGTAATGGAGAGGAGAGATAATTAAAAAGACACAGTTTTCCTGAGCAAACTTTATGCATGTTTTTTGATGTTTTTGATAAAATTGTTTTCTGTATCAAGTTCTTAATTTTATTTGAGTTCTTTTATAGCTGTTGAGGTTGTCGCGACTTTGTTATATTAGCAGGCGCAAAGATAGTTTGTCCAGAGACAAATCAGCCAATTTAAATTTAAGACGGTTCAGCCAAAACTATACAGATATTTCATCCAGAGACAATTCAGCTAGTTATTCAAAACGCTAGATTCGACAAAAGAGAAAATCGGAATTGGAGTTAACTCTCGGTTCAAGGTCGCCGGTGGGCGCGCTATGCTTCGCGGCGATAACCGGCTCTAAATTTTGTATATTGTCCTACCCTCGTTGGCAAGATTGCAACACGTTGGCGCGACTGCTGCGGTCACTATTGTTGGCTGAATTGTCTGTGGCTGAGTTGTCTGGACGCGCTTTTTCCTACCCAACCCTGTCCAACTAGTAAATTTGGCATTAAAACTTTCCCAAAAGGCGGTCTGTTTAGCTGCTCAAGACTTCAGGTCAACTAAGCAACCAAATACCTTGAGAATAAAAATTAGCCAATCATGCTGCATTATTTTCTGATATATCATTTAAAAAAATGGCGACCTCTGTAGGTTTTTTCCTTACGCTCATTGACACTTAGTCATTTCAAATTGCAGTAAGGCAGGCAGTTTGGTTTTTTTCTTAGGCTAACAGACTAAAAAAATCACTTCATATTTCATCGACATTGAAGGGCCCTCAAAACATTCAGTGTTCCAACCTTCTATGAGCAGCCTTGTCTTATTAGATTTCATGTCTATCGTTTGGCTTTTGTGATCTCTTTGTGTTTTTGTGATCTCTTTGTAAACAAATGCAAATGAAAACAAGTGTGCTCGTATCAGGGCAAAGCCGTGAATGTTCTGATTGTTCTTTAAAAATTCACGATAAGTTTTAGAATAAAAATTGTCACAAAAAAAAAGAATTGTAGGCTGATTATATCATTATTTAATGTTGAAGTTCGAGTCGTGTATGAAAATAACAAGATTGCTCGTAAATGAGTGTTCCGATTGCCCCTTGATTCATATCGAATAGATTTTTGGGGAAAATATTTTTGGGAAAAAACTACATATTTTGAACAATATCCAAGATCAATTTTAAAAAAATTCGAGTCCTACTAAATTAAAACGAACGATAGCTAGCCTCAATTCAATTTGGAACAATTTTGTTGTGCGGGATAATTCGCCACGCGTAAATAACGCGTATTATACTTTCAGGATCAAAGTATAAAACGAGCAGTTGCGCTAGGCTCGTGAGAGGTTGAGATAGTGATGTGCGAACTCTGCGGGGCCCACGAGTATCCAGGGATCAAATCCACGAGAGACAATCTCTTTTGAAAGTTGCTATTAATAAAAAACGGTACGAGCATATATTCCTTACTTTCATTGACAGTCAATATATTGAATCAAATACAAACTTTATTGCATAATTTCTCCCAATAGTTCTAAAGTTTTGCATAGGAGAAAAAAAACAACGTTTAACAATCATTCGTTTGTGAAAACAAAGTTTTTGAAACTTGATTTCGGTTATAGCACTCAGTGTGAGGTATGAAATATTTCAAAAAAGTAAAGCAAATACATGAATTTACGCAAATGAAAGATGCGCAGTCAATATACATACTGTTCGACGAACCACAACTATTCAAGTTTTTTATTAGAGTGAACTTCTTTGAAAACATTAGGAAGTTATTTTTCGGAAGTATTGGTACGCTCAGTTCTAATTGGCTGAAAATTCCCACTTAGATCAACCAAATAACACCATCCCCCCAAATTGCTTTGGGGGAGAGAAGAGGATGTTAATTTGGTCCGTGCGGTGGCCAGTCAATAGGCAGAATGGTCTAAGAGCAGAATGGGTCCAAGAGCAGAAAAACAGAAAAATATCAAATTTTATATGCTAGTCGGTAAAATTAACTAAAAAATTGTCAATATGACCAAATAAGCAATAGTTTATGCATAATTTGAATATTTTAATCGAGATTTTTTTAAAAATTCATTTAAAAAATTTTGATTAAACTATTCAATTCATGCATATTTTTTTCATTTTCTTAGTATTATTGACGAATATATTAATTGTTTCATCAATTAGCCCGCATAAATCAACAAAAGTTAATATTTTTCTGTTTTTTTTGCTCTTGGAACCATTCTGCTTTTTGCTCCGCCTGCGTATTCAGTTAAATATAAAAATAGTTTTTATCGTTTCATTTATTGATAAGCTGTTTTATTTTTTCTGAATATATTGTAAGTTTGCTTATAATCAACGATTGTTTTGCCCTTCTTGAGCTTAAGCCTAATTTTTGTATGGCTACATTTGACCTGCTTCTAAGACGAGGAAGGCTGCTTAATGTGACCTTGTTTCAATATTCTAACAAATGGATCAAAAAGAATGAAACAATAAAATGATTGAAACAAAAAGAATGAAACAAAAAAATATTCTAAGATTTGATCAAAATGAATGAAAGACGTTTTAATTTTCAGCCTATCCATCATAGTGTCTGCTAAAAGTGTCAGACTTATAGCGATAAAAAAGTAGTAATTTGAAAAAATGTGTTTTTATCGAGAAACATGAATAGACAATTTTAAACAATTTGCTCGGATCATAGCAAAAAACTGTGATCTTCTAAAAAAAAATTAGCAAAAACGAAACAGCATGTTTTTTTTTGTTTTTCCTGTGAAATGTTTCTGACTGTTGAATTAAGTGCGTGACAAAAAAATTATCTGAGCTCAAAATTGCAAATAAATTAGGATATTATGATATCAATGCTTTAAGCTCAAACTTGAAAATTTAGTTCTCAACAAAAAATATTTGAGAGTCTTACAATATTTTCTACAATCAGATTTAAAAATTTTCTTGGGTTTTTTTTCCAGTGTTACATGCAAAATAGCGCGTACGTTGCAAAATGACTCAAACGCATTTCAAATCTAGTAAAAATGATTCTTTCAAAATTGTAACTGCGTTATAAAGATCTTGAAGCACATTTGTTATATTACAAATAAAAACTTTGTCATGCCAATTTTTGGTTGACTATTGATAAGTTTGGTTGCTGTGCTCTTTGGAACAGCTTCTAAAAAAGGATGCTTTTCATATTAAATTATCCTGAAAAAAATAAAGGGGCTTCTATAATAATTTGTTTAAAACAAGTGAGCCGGCTACTGTTGAAGAAGCGCTAATTATTTTAACCGCAGGAAAATACAAGAACACAAAAAATTGTGACCGAAAAAAACAGTGATATTTTTCAATAGTTTTCTTTTTACATTTTTTGAGGCTAGACCACGTAATACATGTAAATGTAAGAGCTGTCCGATGCATGTAAATTAGTTTGATAAACAAAATTGTTCTGACCAGTTTTTTTTACTCCTAGATTTTTTTTAAATTTTATTTTTGGCTTCCTTGTTACTACCAAAAAGCATTAATATCAGACCACACTCGCCTACTTAAAAGCTGGCTTTGAGATAAGCAAATCCACGTGTAGGAAAACCAGGATATTTTTAACTATATCCCCCTTTTGCAAAAGGAGATATTCGTTTCTGGGTATAAAATTCTCACATGCTTAACCGTTGATTTATTTCTTTATAGGGGAGAATAATCATTACTAGGTACCCGAGGTGGGGGGATATAGTTAAAGCGATTCGAGAACCTAGATAAGCTTCAGATCCTTTTCCCACTAAATAGTGGGAGGAATACAAACCCTTTCCACGTCAAAAAACTTCTGCGAGCCACTGTGAATTCAAATAGTCGGAGATGTGAAATTTGTTCGGGGTTGCAAAAAAATGAAATAACCGAACCATGAAAAAAATAATATAATTGAAATGACTATTTCAATAATAATTTCAGTCTGGTGGTCATGTTTGAATGAATGTGGCAATCATTCTTGGTTCCAGTTGAATTGGTGTTTCAATCAACCTGAGCTTTCTGGGTTACTTTAAAAAATAGAGTTTTCATTTAACTACCAGGATTTAAAAACAGCGGTCTGCATTAATTGTTTTTTCGAGATGTTCGACGTGAAAATATAACATGGAATACTATAAAATAGCTTAATTTTCAATGATTTTCGCTTAAGAAACAAACAAGTATTGAAACGAAAGATTCGAGACTCGAAACGTCAAAACTTTTTGTCTCAAGGTTGCTCACAACTTTGATTGGCTTTGGCGCTGAAGCTTTCTCGCTAGATTCTGCAGACATTATTTTTGATTTTGATCTTCATTTATTTTTAGATCTCATCGATTTAAAATGAAAGGCACCGCCAAGTAGTTAATAAGTTTTGATTTTTGTTGAATAATTTTGATAACTGAATAATTTTGCATTATAAGTTTTCATTAACTCAAATTTCAAGACTTCTTATATTGCATCTTTCTTTTATTTTTTAGTTTTGCTGAAATTTCAAATTTATAACCAAAGTTCTACAAAAATGTCAGTTTTCACCTCGGCTTATTACCGATTTCTAGTCATGAATTTTTTAATTTTTACGTTTCTTTTATCCTTTGTCGACGGAGGTCATCGAGACAGATTTCACAAACACGAATCAACTCAGAATTTCTCCATAACAGATCGGCACGGGAAATTACCGGAACACAATATGAAGTTGTTTTCTGTACACTTCTCCCATGTTCAGTTCCCGTTCATACTCTGCGGCAGTTTGTTCATTCTCGCAGTCGCTAAATTGGGTAAGAAAAGCAACATGAAATAGCTGATTTATCAAACTGTAGGATCTCTTTATTTATCCCCCGCCCTCTTTGGTACCAGTAACGAATTGCCACCCCTATAAGAACTAATTAAACGTTTAAGCATATGTTAAGTTTGTACCTAGTAACGAATCTACCCCCTTTTCGTAAAAGGGGGAGATAGTCAGAGAGATTTGAAATTGTTTTAGAGTTACCAGCGAAATTACCAGGGGGGAGGGGGGCCGGACGCTTTTTTTGTTTAGGATTCGACCACCTGCGATCCACAGGGTCCGCCAATTGTACTAACTTGAGATATCCATTTTTGGCTGACGGACCCTAAAACTTTTCTAAAGGCGCCTTTGGCGCCAATATTTACTAATTTTAAAGGGCAAGCGCGCGCCGAAAAAAATGCAATTTTTTGGTGAAAATTTTCCAAAAAGTGTTTAAAAACGCCCTTTTTGGCCTGTTTTTGGAAATTTGGCTTGCGGCGCAGAAAATTTGTCCAAAACAGGGTCTTTTTAGTGCTTTGGGATTGCTCAGAAAATCATTTTATTCAACCTAAAAGTAATGTCGACAAAATTTTTAATTTGGCCATGGAAAATGGGTATTAACTTTGTTTTCGGATGTGCTTTAGCTTTATTTTTTGTTCTTGAAGCAACGTCAGGTGACACGAAACAATCATCGGAATGGGCCGAGTAATATATGATAGAAAAGTTTTTTTGTCTTATTTCGAACAATATTTCAAAAAAAAATGAAAACTTTTGCACTCTGTCGAGAAAAACCGGTTTATGTTTTGCGAGTTTTTGCTTTACTTTTTGCGAAAAAAGCAATCGAGTAAGTATCGTTTGTTATTTTTACTTGCGAAGCCAGTGTTTTAGTACGAAATTTCTTTTTTTTTCAACCTAAGTCGCAAGTATTGGTGTGGCACTTTTATGGTGCGGCACCCCAATAATGGTGGGGCACCTTTCAGCTTTTTGATAGCTTGTGCTTTGACATTCGAATAGTAAAAAATTAACACAGATGATGCTTTTTTAAGTGATCAAATTAACCGAAAAAAGATGTTTGTTTCAAAAACATCACAATAATAAAAACTCGATTTTAGAAACTTTCTAACTCAAAATATTTCTATTTTTTGAAATGCATAATTTATACATGATGTGGCTTTAAGTTTTGCAATTTTTTACATGCAAATTCAGTTTGGATGCCTTCATTCTCCAAATTATTATTTGCAATCTTGAGTCTATTTGTGTTTCGTTTTTAATTGCAATACTGAGTCTGTTTGGTGCTGAATCGCATTGGCAATTTGTTAGCATATATAGCTACTTTATTCGTGACCTGTATTGTCGGTTGTTAAGCTTGAGTGGCTGAGAAGATAGTGCGTGAGACTCAAAACCTCTTAATTGTATTAGCTCGCAGATTGTAATCCCAAACGTAGCCGAGTTTTTGCTAATTCGAGGCTTATTTCTACTTTTTCTTATTTTAATTGATAGAGTTGCTTTTAGGTCGTGTTCTCGCAAGTGTTTGCGAAGCGCAGCTTCGCCGCTGTGTAATAATTATGTTATTTAGGCTTCAGAAAATGATTTAATTGTAAGGAAAACTAGTTTTGGAAGCTTGTTTTAGCTCCTCCTTGCATTAAACGTATTTAAAAGAAATAGTGCATAAATTACAGAAATAAATTAAGAAAGTTTTTTGAACTTTTTTCCATGTTTTTGTTTGTCATTCTCTTCTTGAAGACAGTTTTGTCGATTATTTCTACTTCAAAATTTTCCAACAAAGTTGTATAATTACACCAAGCCCAGCAAACCACTAATTTGAAGTAAAAAGTGATATTTTTCTGTAAATTTTTATGAATGTGGTCGGAGCATTCTGTCCTATTTACACAACAATTGGTTATCTGTGTTACTATTTGTGATTGAAAAACAATAGTGCGATGTCAAAATGTTTCACTCTCACTTAAAGGAAAAAGTTTTCAATGCCTTGTTTGAATTATATATTTTTTTAGTGGGTAATAAATTCCTCCCATAATTTTCTTCAATTTTTTAAAAAAAACTAATTATTTAGTCTGAAAGTCAAGATGAAGAGTTTGAATTGGGCAAACAGCTGTATGTAAGTGCAAAGACAATTCTAGTCTAGTTTGAGCTGAGGCACTTTGAAGATAAAGATCGGCTTGGGGTAAACTCTTAAAAAAAGTGTCGAAATAGATAAAATTTTGTTTCGAACAAAATTTGAAAAAGTTTTAACTAAAATCCTCCTGGCTTTTTCATTAAGGTTTTTAATTAATTCTTTTTCAATTGGTTCTTAAAAACAATTTTAAAAACTAAGTGCACGCACTTTTTTTCAATCTTTTGAAAAAATCTATTTTCAATATCGAAATTTTTTGTTACGAGCTTGGAAAAAGTAACAGAATGCGTGCTCGACGTTTTTGTATTCTTCGGCAATAAATCGTTTTTTTTTTAAAGCTAACTCGAAAAATAATTCACAATAATATAAAAACACAAAATAATTTTTGTAAATTTGTGGGGTTTGAACCTTGCCAATTTCACCAGTTTGGAACAATTAAAGGGCAACTTTTTGCTGTATTATCACGTGAGCGGTGATTTTTCTTGTCACAGAAATGGTTGCAAACTGAATTAAGGCACGTTGTTCAATAATATGATTTTGTCGTAGACGCAAAATTATTCATTTTTTTGGCAATCTTAGCTTGTGGGAGAGCATCAACAAAAAATACTTTTGAAAGCAAAACTTATTTATCTTTTTCTAACAGCAAAAGTAAGTAGCAAACGATAAAAAGCAGCCAAAACATTTCGCTGAAATACGAGCAATGATCTTTGGTTTTTATGCTGCATTAGTACGATTCGGACAAAAAATCCAGCCAACATTGACTTCTGATACAAATCAGTAAATTAACAAGCTGGCAGTGTTGTTCTTAAGACCTACAGCGACAGCTAATAATTTAACATGGGTTTCTGACCGAGCCAGTTGAAACATACCACAACTGAAATAGCGCACAGACAAATTCGTCAAATACACTTCAGCCATTTACAAATTCAGATAATACAGCAGAGAATGGTATCCAGCGAACTTTCGTAAATTTTGTTTGGGGTTTGAAGTTTTTATTTTGAGCTCTTTTTAAATTTGAGCTCTTTTCAAATTTGAGCTTAAGACAAAAATACTTTCGATTGATGTAAAAAAAATTGTCAAAAAAGGCTAGTTGAAAAAAAAATCAAACAAAATTTGTCTGGAGGAAAAAACCACCCCGAGCACAAATATTTGGTCACTGTCTTCGAAATTCAGAACAATCAGGTGCTCATTTTGGACGATAGAAATTTTCTTGGATGCCTAGTTGATTTGCGGTTCCTAACACTGGCTTGGTTATCTCGTGAATTGTTTCTTTTCTGATGGGATTTCAGAAAAGAATGCACTAAATTCACTTCTAATTGGCAGATTTTGTTCAATGTTTTTTACCATTTAAAAATAATGTTTCTGAACTCTCAATTTAAACACCTGCCTAATATGGAGGAGAAATAAAAAACAAAAAGAGCAGGAGTAAGAAATCACTGTTTCTGTTTCAGGGTTCCATAGGGCTGCTTATCTCTCTTCGATTTTTCCTGAATCTTGGTAAGTTGGTGTAATCCATCAAATGATAAAGCAAATAATGTGATTTTTATACAAGATAATATGGCTGCTTTATCGTGTTCATAGACGTAAAGCGTATTTTGGAAAAGACTTATGCACGTGATAATCCACAAAATTTCATTCAAAAACGCATCATAAACTCATATTTTTCTTTCTAAACTTGATTTGACTTTTGCATAACTTTTACGAAATAATATATTGTGAATACAGGTAGATCAATTACATAACAATTTGCTAAGTAAGTATTTACTAATAGGTAATTGATTATGAATACACACAGATCAATTATAAAAAAAAATTTTTAAATTATATAACATTTAAAATTTTTTTTTTATTGTTGTCAACTTGAATACAAGTAAGTTGGTGTTGATGTTGTGTGTTTGTTGTCTAGTCTGCTGATTGTGGTGGGTGTGTTTTTGAGTCTGGTGGTCCACTGGACAGGTGCACACAATGACTTCGTCTTCCATCCCACTACCTTCTTCTTGTACTTACTGCCCCCGTGAGTAATCATCATTTTAGAGCAGTCATTAAATGATTTACTCGTGAGTCACTGTTTTTGTATATTCGTGAGTCACCATTTTTGTATATTCGCGAGTCACCATTTTTGTATATTCGTGAGGTACCCTTCTTGTATATTCGTGAGTCACCATTTTTGTATAGTCGCAAATCACCATTTTTGTATATTCGTGAGTCACCATTTTTGTATATTCGTGAGTCACCATTTTTGTATATTCGTAAGTCGCCGTTTTTGTATATTCGTGAGGTACCCTTCTTGTATATTCGTGAGTCACCATTTTTGTATATTCGTAAGTCGCCGTTTTTGTATATTCGTGAGGTACCCTTCTTGTATATTCGTGAGTCATCATTTTTGTATATTCGTAAGTCGCCGTTTTTGTATATTCGTGAGGTACCCTTCTTGTATATTCGTGAGTCACCATTTTTGTATATTCGTAAGTCGCCGTTTTTGTATATTCGTGAGGTACCCTTCTTGTATATTCGTGAGTCATCATTTTTGTATATTCGTGAGTCACCCTTTTTGTATATTCGTGAGTCACTCTTTTTGTATATTCGTGAGTCAAACTTTTTATAAATTCGTGTCACCGTTTTTGTATATTCGTGAGTCACTCTTTTTGTATATTCGTGAGTCGCCGTTTTTGTATATTCGCGAGTCACTGCTGAAAGTTGGGAGAAACTTTTCTTCGGGTCTGTTTTGTTGGCTACAGACCCGAAAATAATCCAGAATAGAACAAAGTGATATATGATATATCATATTTAAGACTTTACGGTCGTGATTCGGACTGCATCAAAAATTTTCTAAGCTCAGTGTTGAGAAAAATTGGTTTCAGTTTTCGTTTTTCAGTCTAATTTCGAGCGACAAAGCGAGTGAGTAGAGATAGAGATTGTAAAGCGTATACATTAAGCTATTTTTTGAATTAATAGCTTTAAAAAGCAGCGGTGTAGTTAAATTGGGAAAAAAGAAAACGTTTTTGAATATTTTCGAGTTTTTCTGAAAAAATTTGTGCAAAATTTTCAAATAAACTGCAAAGTAATTGAAGTTTAGTGAAACCAGTAATAGTTTTTTCTTGTTAAGTTTTGCCGATTTCCTCCCTGTACGCAGAAAAGCAGAATTTTTAACAAAAAAATTGCGGTTTTTGCGTTTTGAATTTTTAGTTTTAAGACCGTTTTTGGTACAGCTATAACTCAATACAAAACAATTACTCATTTCCTAAAGGCAGCGGAAACTTATATGAAAACAGAGATCTTGCTAACTATCCTCTCCTTATGGTGACTAAGAAATTGATAACCCTTGTAACAAATCGCCCTCCCCCCTTAGACTGGGGGAATTCGATAATTGGGATAAAAATTCGACATTTTTTATTCGACAAAAATTAAGAAAGATTTAGTCTAAAAATTGCCTAAACTTTTTGGTTTCTCAATTCAGGCAAAGATTAATTTTTTTGTCTAATCATCAAAAGGATCCTAAAACTAAAAAGTAGAAAACTCATCAAAATTCATGCGAGATTGATAGTTGATGATAAAAAAATTCATATTCCCGTGACTTGTCAGATCTTCATGTTTTCAATTCGCTATTTACAAAAATCCATGGAATGGGAAGCTCAAATGATTATTTAGGTTATTTCAAAAATTCTGCTAATTAATGAAATTTTTTGTAAGTAGTCAAAATAAGGAAACTTAGTCAAATTTTCTCATTGATTTTTGTTGTGGATTTTGTTGACCTAATGGATGGTAACAATCCTCACTTTAGATTTTCCTCTCTCAGTTTACTGAAAACTGACATTATCTAAACAAAAATGTGACCATATTTATAGCAAATCGTGTTGTTGAAAACATAATTACAAAATTTTTGAATTTAACTCATCCCGAGAGATTTTTCAATTATGAGACATGGACTTCGATTTAAACCATTTAATTTATGGGTACGGATGCTCCCTTTAGAAGTTTCTGAAAAATCTAAAATTGATTTATAAATTTATGAATGAATTTCGTTACTTTCTTTTAAGTTTTCTTCAAAATTTCGAACAAAATCATATCATTGGTAATAATAGGAGTACGACTCACTTTTTTTACTAATAGTTTTCAGGATACAACCAAAATGAGAAACGGACTTCGATTTAAACCAATTAATTGCAGTCTTTGGTAATAATAGGAGTACGACTCATTTTTGTTTTTGACTCGTAAATTTCAGGATAATGCTTGAGGCTGCCTTTTGTCTCCACGACAGAGCTGTGTGGGAGAATCTGGGAACAATTCTTGTGTTCGCCTGTTTGGTAAGAGAAAATCCACCTAGAGCTTATTAAGAAGATTTCTATAATAGTTTTTCTAAATAATTTGTTCTTTTTCAGGGAACTGTTTTGAATACCTTCATCATCGGTTAAGTTAATTTTGACTTCATTCCGACTAGAAAATTGTAAGTTTTTGTTTAAAAAAAACAAAAATTTTCAGTTTTAGTAAAAGTTCCAATTTAGTGAAAATGGTTCCCTTTACGCACACAATTTATGCAAATTCTACAAGAAAAAGCATAAGAAAAAATAAAAATTATTGTTTATAAAAAACAGCGTAGTTGAAAACAACAAAAAAACTACTGCTCACACCTTTTTTCTTTATTATAGCACCAGTGTTGTTTCTGTTCAATGACGCGGGTGCATTCGGCCCTTTGGCCCAATTCGGTTTTGCGCAGTGTCTGCTCTTTGCCGCCCTCATCTCCGCCGTCGATCCTGTGGCAGTAAGTATAGCCTCTTGCATTCAACCGCGATCTTCTTGAATCGTAACGACTACGCCTGGGACGGCTAAGGCCAAGGATCGAGCTCGGCCAGGACCTGTTTTTTTTTCAAACTGAAGACATTTCGTGCTCACTTTTTTATCTGCTCATTTTTCTATTTGCTCATTGTTTTTAAAAAAAATTACAATGAACACGAGCCATTGAAGTTTCAAGTCCATACTTCATCTATTAAAAAAGACGGATCTTATTCAGTCACAAGCTGTCCCCCCCCTCCCCCGCCTCCTCGCCCAATCAAACGTAAACACGAGTTTAATGGTGTCACCAGTAGTTTTACATGGTTCTGTTTTCAGGCGACCATTAGGACAATTAAGGTTTGAGCAACAATTGTAACCACTGAACTTCCTAGTCGAAAAGTTCTTACATTAAGAAGCAATGATTTTGGACCGTTAAAAATTTATATAGGTAGTGTGGTATCAATTGATATTGCAAGGCACAACAACCAAACTTCCATTCCTTACCGGGTGTGGGATCCGCTATGCAATGCTCCACGGAACTATTTATCAATGAAGCCTAAATAAATTTTCTTGCGACAAACATAGCGCTTCTAATTGCGACGAATCGTCGCTGGCGACCAGTTATAGTCCAGTCCAGTGTTATTTCGAAGTCGTTCCAGGTGCTGGCCATTTTTGAGGAAATCAACGTTAACAGTGCCCTCTACTTCCTGGTGTTCGGGGAGTCCCTACTGAATGATGCAGTCACTGTGGTTCTATACCGTATGATGGAGGTGTTTGTAGTCATGCCCCAAATACTACCCAAGGAGGCAAGTCATTGACATAACTATGAACATCAAAATACTATGACCTATTTTGAAATAATTATGGTTGAATCCGAATATAGTATGGCTAAAATTTTGAAATACTATCAGAGTCAAGAGCAAGCTAGGAGGGGAGGGATGACGGGTTGTCTTTTTCCTTCAGGAAATCCACCTCTTTACCATCCAAAGAAAACAACTTTCGGCCAAAACGTTCCAAAAACAAAAAGTTGCCAAATACGGCTTTTACGCCTGTTAATTTTAATATGGCACGCGTCTCAAAACTATTTTTTTTTTTTGCAAAATAGGAGCTCATAGTGTTTTTGGAGACATCGGATACTCAATGTTTGACAACCTAAAGTTTCGAAATTTGTTTGAAAATTGCCCCTTCGCAAAATTTCACTTTTCAACACGGTATTATAATTGTGCAACTGAAACCAGCGGTCAAATTTTGATTGGAAATTTTGCACTAAGACAATAGATTGAATTGTTTCCATGAACACATTCAAAATAGATTTTGATGAATTTCAGTGGAAAATACCCGCTTTTGGACAAAATCTATTCTGTTTTTTTTTCTTCAGATCTTCAAAGGCTTCTGTTCCTTCTTCATCGTCAGTTTCGGAGGAGTGCTGATTGGACTTGGCTTCGGTGCTTTTACGTCTTACCTCACCAGATTCACCAACCACGTCAGAGGTTAGTGGCTTACGAATTTTTGTTCTCCTCCGCTGTATTCTGGCTTTGGTTGTTGCGAGAAGGGAGCTGAGCTGGATGGGGGTAGGACGACGGTGTTCAAAAAACATGGTTTAGTTTGAGAATTCTAGTCAATTTTTCGGTTGGTCAAATAAGTAGCTAAGAAACCTGACAAATAATTCAAAGTTACCAAACTTAACGAAATTTAACGAAAGATTTTACGAAAGATTTTTTCTCGCCTTTGAATTTTTGGTTGTTCAAAAAAGACTCTAATTTCGTTGTTACGAATCTCGCTGGACAAAAACGTAGCCAAGGATTGAGTTTACGGAAAGTTGCTATTGGCTTAATGTGGCTGTTTAAGAGGCAAAGAGGAAGTTACATTGAATGAAAGCTACTGTGAAGCCTACAGCGGACAAAAAGTTGTTGTTGAAAAATGCTATTAACCCCACGACAACCAACCTTTGCATTTTTATTTTTTCGCGAGTTACATGCAGAAATTATCCCAAAACGCTCTAAAATGATTCTGAACGCATAAGAGTGAATCTACAAAACAACGCAAGAAGTCTATATATTCAAGTCGAAGCGAAGAACTAGCCATCATGTTTTTAAAAATGAATATTGCGTTGGACAAGAGTTATGGCCGCGAAACCACTTGTTGTATAGTGCTAAAACAGTTCGTGAGAGTTTCATTTCTAAGTGTCAATCAATTGTCAAACGTGGTGATAATTAATCTATTAGCAGGTGTTGCCCTTGGTATTGTCTGTCACCCTGGGTTGACCTATACGATCACTCTTATTGTTAACTTTGTGAGGTTAAGTTGCTTATCATTGGAATTTACATATTGACTGATCAACGTTTTCAACACACTTTTTGGGAAAAAATCTTAAGTTTAGATAAAACCACCGTATAGTTGTCCAAAAACATTGCAAAGATCCAGTTATGTGAACGCCAAAAGTCTAGATGTATGGGCTGCTCTTCAAAAAATGGACCATCAGTACAACTTGGGCAAGTTTTTGTGACATGGGCATGGAAGATTTGTTGTTTTGGAGCCAAATCAAAGCATGAAAAGTAATTGGTATTGACATACATAAGACGACGATGTATATGCCCAAGTTTTCTTCGCATGTACACTAATGGAGCTGGCGTAAATCAAAATGGCCGAGCTCCCTGTGCTAGGTCCAGCTTTGTTGTCCAAAAGCAACAAAAGCTAGGTATCAGACTTTTAGAGTGGATGGGACAAACAGCTGATTGCAACTGCATTAGTAATTTTTTGATTTTTTACCGGCAGTCGGAAGAATTGAAAAATTACTTGATCCGACGTCAAACAAGGATGAGCATTTATGAGTAGTTTGAAGCTGATGGTTGATATAAGCTAACAAAACATTTTATTTCCTGTTATTCCCTAAGACTTGTATTTTTTGCGACAAGGTTTCCACAGCAAGAGCGTTTCTGAAAACAGTGGTCATATACTGGCTTTTTACGCCATCAAAACGCCCTAAAAACAGTCATGGACAAAATCATAAGCCTTACTTATAATATTTTTTGTCTCAAAAATTGTTGGCCAACCGCGCATCGCGTATCAACCCTTTTTTACAAAGAAACTATGCCACCTGTGATTTTCTGTGTCAAAAATTTCTGCTCCTGTTACTGAAAATTGATCTCATTCAGCCCTTTTTCCTAGAAGTTAGGCTCATCCAGCTGCATACTGGAAGAACAAAGACCAAAAACTGAGCCTGATTTGTTAATAATTGGGCTCAATAAGTCCCTCGAAAAAATTGGATTTATTCAGCTCATTCTGAGAAATTCAGTGCCATAATTGGGCTAACGTTCCTTAAAGTTGGTTTCAATCAGCTCTATTCTGAGAAATTCAGGGCCATAATTGGGCTCACGTTCGTTAAAATTGGGTTCATTCAGCTCTATTCTGAGAAATTCAGTGCCATAATTGGGCTCACGTTCGTTAAAATTGGGTTCATTCAGCTCTATTCTGAGAAATTCAGAGCCATAATTGGGCTGAAGTTCCTTAAAGCTGGTTTCAATCAGCTCTATTCTGAGAAATTCAGGGCCATAATTGGGCTAACGTTCCTTAAAGTTGGTTTCAATCAGCTCTATTCTGATAAATTCAGTGCCATAATTGGGCTAACGTTCCTTAAAGTTGGTTTCAATCAGCTGTATTCTGAGAAATTCAGGGCCATAATTGGGCTCACGTTCGTTAAAATTGGGTTCATTCAGCTCTATTCTGAGAAATTCAGTGCCATAATTGGGCTCACGTTCGTTAAAAATGGGTTCATTCAGCTCTATTCTGAGAAATTCAGAGCCATAATTGGGCTCAAGTTCCCTAAAGTTGATTTCAATCATCTCTATTCTGAGAAATTCTGGTCCATGATTGGGCTCACGTTCGTTAAAATTGGGTTCATTCAGCTCTATTCTGAGAAATTCAGTGCCATAATTGGGCTAACGTTTCTTAAAGTTGGTTTCAATCAGCTCTATTCTGAGAAATTCAGGGCCATAATTGGGCTCACGTTCGTTAAATTTGGGTTCACTTAGCTCTATTCTGAGAAATTCAGAGCCATAATTGGGCTCATGTTCCTAAAAGTTGGTTTCAATCAGCTCTATTCTGGGAAATTCAGGGCCATAATTGGGCTCACGTTCGTTAAAATTGTGTTCATTTAGCTCTGTTCTGAGAAATTCAGAGCCATAATTGGGCTCACGTTCGTTAAAATTGGGTTCATTCAGCTCTATTTTGAGAAATTCAGTGCCATAATTGGGCTAACGTTTCTTAAAGTTGGTTTCAATCAGCTCTATTCTGAGAAATTCAGGGCCATAATTGGGCTCAAGTTCCTTAAAGTTGATTTCAATCATCTCTATTCTGAGAAATTCAGGGCCATGATTGGGCTCACGTTCGTTAAAACTGGGTTCATTCAGCTCTATTCTGAGAAATTCAGTGCCATAATTGGGCTAACGTTTCTTAAAGTTGGTTTCAATCAGCTCTATTCTGAGAAATTCAGGGCCATAATTGGGCTCATGTTCGTTAAAATTGGGTTCATTCAGCTCTATTCTGAGAAATTCAGTGCCAAATTTGGGCTCACGTTTGTTTAAATTGGGTTCATTCAGCTCTATTCTGAGAAATTCAGAGCCATAATTGGGCTCATGTTCCTTAAAGTTGGTTTCAGTCAGCTCTATTCTGAGAAATTCAGTGCCATAATTGGGCTCACGTTCGTTAAAATTGGGTTCATTCAGCTCTATTCTGAGAAATTCAGAGCCATAATTGGGCTCAAGTTCCCTAAAGTTGATTTCAATCATCTCTATTCTGAGAAATTCAGGTCCATGATTGGGCTCACGTTCGTTAAAATTGGGTTCATTCAGCTCTATTCTGAGAAATTCAGTGCCATAATTGGGCTAACGTTTCTTAAAGTTGGTTTCAATCAGCTCTATTCTGAGAAATTCAGGGCCATAATTGGGCTCACGTTCGTTAAATTTGGGTTCACTTAGCTCTATTCTGAGAAATTCAGAGCCATAATTGGGCTCATGTTCCTAAAAGTTGGTTTCAATCAGCTCTATTCTGGGAAATTCAGGGCCATAATTGGGCTCACGTTCGTTAAAATTGTGTTCATTTAGCTCTGTTCTGAGAAATTCAGAGCCATAATTGGGCTCACGTTCGTTAAAATTGGGTTCATTCAGCTCTATTTTGAGAAATTCAGTGCCATAATTGGGCTAACGTTTCTTAAAGTTGGTTTCAATCAGCTCTATTCTGAGAAATTCAGGGCCATAATTGGGCTCAAGTTCCTTAAAGTTGATTTCAATCATCTCTATTCTGAGAAATTCAGGGCCATGATTGGGCTCACGTTCGTTAAAACTGGGTTCATTCAGCTCTATTCTGAGAAATTCAGTGCCATAATTGGGCTAACGTTTCTTAAAGTTGGTTTCAATCAGCTCTATTCTGAGAAATTCAGGGCCATAATTGGGCTCATGTTCGTTAAAATTGGGTTCATTCAGCTCTATTCTGAGAAATTCAGTGCCAAATTTGGGCTCACGTTTGTTTAAATTGGGTTCATTCAGCTCTATTCTGAGAAATTCAGAGCCATAATTGGGCTCATGTTCCTTAAAGTTGGTTTCAGTCAGCTCTATTCTGAGAAATTCAGTGCCATAATTGGGCTCACGTTCGTTAAAATTGGGTTCATTCAGCTCTATTCTGAGAAATTCAGTGCCATAATTGGGCTAACGTTCCTTAAAGTTGGTTTCAATCAGCTCTATTCTGAGAAACTCAGGGCCATAATTGGGCTAACGTTCCTTAAAGTTGGTTTCAATCAGCTCTGTTCTGAGTAATTCAGGGCCATAATTGGGCTCGCGTTCGTTAAAATTGGGTTCATTCAGCTCTATTCTGAGAAATTCAGAGCCATAATTGGGCTTATGTTCCTAAAAGTTGGTTTCAATCAGCTCTATTCTGAGAAATTCAGGCCCATAATTGGGCTCACGTTCGTTAAAATTGGGTTCATTTAGCTCTATTCTGAGAAAATTGGGTTCATTCAGCTCTATTCTGAGAAATTCAGAGCCATAATTGGGCTCATGTTCCTTAAAGTTGGTTTCAATCAGCTCTACTCTGAGAAATTCAGGGCCATAATTGGGCTCACGTTTGTTATAATTGGTTTCAATCAGCTCTATTCTGAGAAATTCAGGGCCATAATTGGGCTAACGTTCCTCAAAGTTGGTTTCAATCACCTCTATTCTGAGAAATTCAGGGCCATAATTGGGCTCACGTTAAATTTGGGTTCATTCAGCTCTATTCTGAGAAATTCAGAGCCATAATTTGGCTCTTGTTCCTTAAAATTGGTTATAATCAGCTCTATTCTGAGAAATTCAGGGCCATAATTGGGCTCTCGTTCGTTAAATTTGGGTTCATTCAGCTCTATTCTGAGAAATTCAGAGCCATAATTGGGCTAACGTTTCTTAAAGTTGGTTTCAATCAGCTCTATTCTGAGAAATTCAGGGCCATAATTGGGCTCACG